GCCTCAAAACATTCCCAGAACCTGGCAATTTTGCCAGTGCTGGCCCTGTGAGAGGGGGGGGGAACTGGCAAGAGTCCTGGGAGGCTCCCTTGGACCCTTGCCACGCTCCCCCCACCTGGAAGCAGGCGATTTTGCCGGCGCCGGCCCCATGGGGGGTTGGGGGAGCCTCGCAAGGGTCCTGGAAGGCTCACCCGGACCCTTGCGACGCTCCCCCCCCTGGGGCCAGTGGCGACGAAAATGCTGCCTTCGGTCCATAAGACGCATGGACATTCCTCCCCACATTTTGGAGGAGAAAAAGTGCGTCTTATGGAGCAAAAAATACAGTAGTAAAAGGACACAATACACCATTTATCTGCACAGAATCCAGCAGAATAAAAACTTCTTAATGCCGGCAGATACAGCCTGTTCTAGACTTCATCTTCAACTGATAGCTCCATCAGTCACTTCTGTCAAGAAAAGATTATATTGATGTAAGATACTGGGGGAACTGGAAAGGAGATATGCAGCGGACTCCATAGAAGAAATGGAGCAATCCACCAGCAGATGAGTGAAAGGAAGCAAAAAGGAAGGTAGAGAAAAAAGAGAGGCAGTACTAGATCCAAAGCAAAACAGCTTCATTCTCAGAGTCCTCAAATCCAATTACAAAATGGGAAAGCTCCCCAATGTCTGGTAACAGACTAAAAGAAACCAATCCATGCAAGCTTTATTTGTCTACATTCCTTTTTTATCTCCAACCCATTCATTCTATGGCCACAGCCTTGTAACTTAAGAGATGAAAATTTGGGGGAAGGCCTGTCTCCTGCCCCTTGCCTCAGAGAGCACACAGCTGTTGCTGTCACTGAGATTAGATGACATAATAGGAACTATCAATGGTCTAGTTTACATACTCTTCACCTTCCAAAAGGTCAGATACATTTTATATCAAAGTGGATAAAAATTAATCACAATTTATATCAACTTAATTATCAAAATTTTAAATTTAAATTGTGATTTAAATCAAATCCACCCTGATTTCTATTCTGCTGAAATAATGCAGAATGTTATTTCCTAGAGGTTATCATTCTCTTGTCCCCACTACAACAGAGACTACAAGGGATGATGACAAGAAACATGGATTTTAAGAAACTAGTTATAGGATTCCATAGTACTATTTTTCTCTACTTGCTGATACAAATACCTTGGATTTTTTTTAATTTTAACTGGAGCTGAACTTTGTCACCTAGGATCTAATGTTTCCAGCAAAACACATTTACTATTTTTAAACCAGTTAAATCAAATGTCTGCTTAAAAATGAGAATGTTAGATTAGCATGCACTGCAGCTGAACTCATTCGGAAGATAAAACAAGTATGTGATAGCTGATTTTGCTTTGCTTATACCCAGTTATCTTCCACCCTTTCCTCCTCCCCACCAACAAGGTAAAAATAAAACATAAAAGAAAATGTGTTACAGAACATTGGTTTGGCTTCAAATATAGTTTTTATTTTCCATATAAAAATACATATTTTTACAAAGAAAATACAAGCAAACCCCTTGGGTGGTTTTACAAAATAAAGTGCTGTGTTAAAACGAGAAAACAGGAACAAGTCAAAAATTGTGGCAACTGATGTTTCAGTGGCCAAAATAGTCAACAGTGATTTGAGATGTGTTCCAAAGTGGCTGTGCTAGACATAACCCACAGTCAGGTCCTCAGTTCTACGGTTCTCCTAAACAGTTCCTCTTTAGAATGTTGATGGAGTGATATAGAACTGAACTTCCTCCATATGACTAGCTACACATTAAAAATCAGATGCCACAGTAGAATTCTCACTGGTTTTTCACCACAATATGTTAATTTGGCTGAATTTATATATAATTATTCATTCATACATACATTCTTTCACTCAAACACATATACACGTACTTTTATTTGGAGAGGAGGAAGAATTCAGCCATTAGGGTCTTTCCCATCTGCACTAGGAATTGCTATGATACAGGAACAGATTTTTATCATGCTGTCTGCTGTTTTTAAGAAATAGGACTTCAAACCTCAAATATTTACCTGACAAAAATGATGAACTGACCACAATAATTTGGCCTAAACATGAATAGAGGTAGTGAAAAAGGGACCATGGAAGGCTTGGAAAGGCCAGCCTTTCATGGATAATTGTGCTTCCAACTGCACCTTCATAATCCTAATAGTTACAGATATTAAAATAATGAGAGAAGACAGTCAGGATTCCATGTTTTCTGCTACATATTGGAAACCATATGATACGGTGCATGCATAATTCGTAGAAAACAGATGGCTCCAAAAGGCAACTGAACTATACAAATCAAAGATGGGCAAAGAGTGAAGCAAAAGTCCCACTTGTCTAAATGCTGTTTGGTTCCATCAGAAATATGAAAGGAAACAACTGCATAGTGGGTTAGACTCTCTGGTGTGGAAAGGAGAACTACAGTGTACTGAACTCTCCCTTTCCTTTGCTTTTACTTGCCATTAATTAGCTCCAGGGCCTCCTCCTTGCTCCGGGTGATCTTATCCTCCCTCCATGAAGAAGGCCTCCTAGACTGGTTATGTTTCACCAAAAGGTGTGAGCATCGCACTTTTGTTGGCTCCCCTTGTCCGTTCTTGCTGTTCCCAGTGGGGCGTTCCCACTGGCTGGCATTTGTGATGTGGTTGAAATAGTAGACACGGCCTGCAAAACAGACGGAAAAGAAAAATTTCAGTTGCAAAATAATAAAAGCTGAAAACTCACTTTCTCTATGACCCATGCTTCCCATCAGAAAGCACTGTATCAATGTTACATAGTTACAGCAGTTTAGTAACATTTTTAACTGGCACAGCTTCATGTTAGAGAATTCTGGCAGTTGCAGTTTAGTGAGACAATGATAATTCTATGCTAGAGAGCTTTTTGGCACTCATTTGAACCACAGCAGAAAATTTTAACTATTTCACCAAATTACAGAGTCATGTCACTTACATATGTATTAAATCATAGTACAGTGTAGAGATGCTATTATTTGATTGACTCTTACCCTCCCTCTCCGGTCACAATTTGGTGTTTTTATGTCTCTCAACCTCTGCTCCTCCAGCAAAGTCAGGACAAGGACCTCAAGTTTCTGCCAAACCCATGGTCACAATGCTGCCATAACTACCTTATGATGTCACTGCAAGTGCAAGGTGACAGAACAAAACACACCTGAGCAGTTTCAAAGCTATCTCATTATATCTGCAAGGTATCATCAGGACATATCTTTAACTAATTACTAAAGCTGACCTAACTTCTAAGGGTAGGGAAAAGACTTTATGAATCAGTTTCAAATAACAACATGGAGAACTAACATGCATGATATGGAACTCTGGGAAGATTATTTTAGAAATCTATTACTTCTGGGCTTCAACAGACTCAGCAGACATAAAAGGGCCTTCTTTGCTGTGGTTTCTTTAACTGTTTACTTAATACATGATTACATGTATTACAGTATTTTAATATCTGTGATCCACCCAGAATAATGCATGGCACTAGTGGGGCAGTAAACAAACAAACAATAAAGATTAGATAATATTTCTCACAATTTTTTTTAAAGCTACAGAGTTATTTCTGGCTAGAGGCTGGTGGCAAGTGAAGGACACAAAGTTTTGGAAAGCTGCTGGAGGCAATGCTAATCTCTGGTAGCTTTCAAGTGATTGCCGACAGAACAAAACAGGTCTGTCTCCCTCATTTCTTTCGCTTAAAAAAAGCCTATATACCATCTGGATGATAAAAGTTGATTTTTTTTTAAAAAAGAAAGTTGACTTCTACTTTCATAAAACAAGCATTATATTCAAATTTGTGTGTGTCTCAACATTTGATTGTCGTAATGCACACCCTATACTCTGGGCAAAAAGCTACCATTACAACAGAATTTGGAGAAACGCAATGGTTGTCAATAAACAAAGGTATAAGACAAGGGTGTATTTTATCTCACTATCTGTTCAATCAGTATACAGATAATATGGAAAGCTGGACTAGATGCAGATGGAGTGAAAAACTGATGAAAGAAGTATCAGGAATTTAAGATATGCTGATGACGCTACACAACTGGCAGAAAACAGCAATGACTTGAAATGACTCCTTTTGAAAGAATAAAGTTGATTATTAGCCTACAGCAGAATTACTTAATTAGTGAAAATGAAGAAACAAAGCTATTAAAGACTTTCTACACCTTGCTTCAAACATCAATCCAAATGAAGACTGCAGCAAAGAGATCACAATACTGAGACAGCTATGAAGGGAAGCTGTGAAACAACCAGAAAAGATTCTCAAATGTAAGAATGTGTCAATGGAGACCAAGGTGAAGCCATCTATGCTATGGTATTCTCAATTACTATACAGTGGTACCTCGCAAGATGATTACCCCGCAGAACGATGAATCCGCATGACGACGAGGTTTTGCAACTGCAATTGCGCGTCGCAAAACAGTGATTCCTATGGGGGAATTTTTCTGGACGACGTTTCGGTCCGTGCTTCCCCAGATGCTTTTTTTTTCGGGACCGATGCTTAGCAAGAGGACGATTCAACAGCTGATCAGCAGCTCCGCAAATGGCTTCCCTAGGGTGTTTTGTTTCACAAGACAGCGATTTAAAATGGCTTCCCTATGGGCGATCTTCACTGGACGACAACTATTTTCCCCACTGGAACACATTAAATGGTTTTCAATGCATTCCAGTGAGGAAACTCTTCTCGCAAGACAATGATTTCACTAAACAGCAATTTCTATGGAACACATTATCATCTTGCGGAGCACCATTGTATACAGGTGTAAAAGCTGGACAGTGAAGAAATTTGAAAGGAAAAGAAATTGATTCATTTGAAATGAGCCTTTGGGGAGCTTTGCACATACTATGGGCCAACCGAAAGACAAATACCATATTTTTCTGTGTATGAAACACTTGTTCCTTAAATAATTAGACAAAAAAGTTAGGGTCGTTTTATACATGGAAGGCAGCCACTTTTCCCTGTCTTTTACGTTTATAAGATGATCCAATGTATAAGATGATCCCCCCCTTTTCTAACCCCAAATTAGAAAATTTGATCCTTGCTTTTCCCTTCCTTTTGCTAAGCCGTGGAGTTTAGCAAAAGGAAGGGAAGAGCAGGGATCAAAGGGCTCCCTTTGACCACCGCTTTTCCTTGCCTTTTGAGAAGCCATGGGGCTTAGCAAAAAGGAAGGGAAGGCTCCCTTTCGGGTAACGGCTGCAATCAAATTTTCTAATTTGGTATTAGAAAAGGGGGGGATTCATCTTATACACTGGGTCATCTTATAAACGGAAAAATAAGTTAAATGGGTGGTAGATCAAAGCAAGCATGAATTTGTTCTTACTCCAAAAAATGACTGAAATGAAGTTATCATACTTCAACCACATCATAAAAAGATAAGACTCAAAGGCAGTAATGCTGGGAAAAGTTGAAGACAACAGGAAAAGAGGAAGACAAAATAAAAGATGGATTAAAGGAAGCTATGGTCTAAAATTTGCAATTGCTGAGCAGCACTGATGATGAGGTGACTTTTGTTGATCACTAGGTCATAGGCTTACAAGTCAAAAGCATTAAAGATACAGTATTTTTGGTTTTATCTTGCTTTTGTTTTTCCTAAAACAGACTAACAGTTACCCCTTCTGAAAAGTTATTTATACTGTACATAATTCTATTCAAATGTTTAGAATTCTATCAGCTAAAACACTTCAACAATAACTTTAAATCTAACGGAAACAAAACTTCTGCTAGTAACTACCAACCAAGTCTTGCCTTTGAAACAGTAGGCACTCCAATTTAGAAAAGCGTGATACTACTGAGTGTCTCTGGCCTTTTCTGTGAATAAGCAAAGAGAAATTCATTAGTTTTAAAAGATATTCCCAATTGGTATTATGCTCTACATCACTGAAGAATATGAGCGACATCTTGGGTAACATAATATTTATCAAGGTATAAGTTGGTCCCTTAATCATTATTAAGAGTATTTTCCTAACCAACCTGTATACATAAATCACAACATGGAAACCATGTTGAAACAAAAATTTATGTCTCTTTTACGTCCAGCATGTTTAAACTTTACTGGGATAATTTAAACCAATCCACTCAGGCTACAACACAATTTCACAAGTTTGTTTCAACACATACTGGGGGAAGCATATCCTCATTCATATTGGAAATGGCAGGCAAGTTACTTCAAAGAGAGCTGTGCTGTCCAAATGTCAATAATTCTCTGGAACAAACACACCCAGAAAAGTCTTGGGCGGATTCGAGGATACACTACCCATTCACACAGCAGTGAACTAGAACTTATACCATGCAAACTATGGCCAACCCAGAATTCACCCTATAACTTTCTGTGATGCAAAATGAATTGCAACAGACTGGTTACTGCAAATATAGTGCCTTGAAGGCTAAAAACATTGGACTAGGGGTTTACATTTCTAGCTCTGAATAAGAAGCATCTGCAAAATCAAAGCAAATGCCCTTCAATCCACTGGGGACAGAAAGGCTCATATACAATATGCAGCTAACCAAAGGGGGGGAAAACAGCAAATGCCCTTAAGGTTCTACTATTCCAAAGGGGGTCGATATATTCCAGCAGCCCAAAAACTCTTTTAGGCAAAGGTGGTCAAGCCAGATGCTCTACGGCACCTTTATAGGGCCTCCATCTAGCTGCTTTGACCCGATAGAGCGGGTTCAGACTAAATTCCTTAGAGCAATTCTCGAAGTACCAAGATGCTTACCAAATGCACAAATTCGTTTAGAGACAGGCTCACTAAGAGTGGTAGCCAAAATTAAACTAGCCTCCTTTCAGTACTGGCTTAAAATAAATTATCAATCACAGGGATTAACCCATCTACTTCTAGAGGACAATTTTCAATCGAAGTGGTTGAAAGCGGTCCTAAACAAATTGCAAGTTATGGGCTTCTCTCCACAAGCAATACTGAGTATGCAATGGGATGAAGCAAAATCAGCCCTTAAACAGAGAATAATGGACATGGAAAGGCAGATAGATCTCGGTAGATGCCCCAACTTTAGAGCGATAGACACACACAAATATCGCTTGCTCCCCATGGCCTATTTATCACAGCTTGAGACATATAAGTTTAGGAAAGCCTTTACTCTGGCTAGATGTGAGGCCTTTCCCTCAGCAGTCCTGGAAGGCAGGTTTAAGAAGATCCCAAGGGAACAGAGACTCTGCCCTTGTGGATCTGGTGAGATAGAATCCATTGAGCATATGATGCTCAGATGTAACAGGCATAACAAGATTCGAGGAATATATTCCCCCTCTTTTAAAAGACATGACAAGCCAGTCAGACTCGGACAACTGTAACCAAGTGTTAATATATCAAAATCGGATTACTATAGAACTGGTAGCGAAATTTTGGGCGACATGCCATAGTAGCCAGAATAGATAGCCAAACTTAGACATTGGTCTTACATTGTCATATTTGTAGTTTTATTGTCTTTTGCTTATTTGATTTGGCTTTTTGTAGTATATGTCAGTACTTGAAGCTCTGCATTTAATTTTGTTTTATTTATATGGCTTGATGCTGTAACAATAAAAGTGAGATGCTTAAAAAACACAGCTACAATATTTTCCAAGGCCCTTCACACCATCAGACATTTAAAAGTGTTGTTTAAATCTCTTGCTTACTCTAGTCAGTTTCCCAGATTTTGTA